ACATTTGTCATTTTAGTGTTTTGTTTTTTTTTTGGTCATTTTCTGTCAAAATTTTTAGAAATTTATAGAAATTATATATTTATATTTCAAATTTACTGTTCAAAATTTCCTATAACCTAAGTTGGATATATATGCACACGATGAGCCAATAAAATTTAAAATCGGTCCAGTAGTTTGGGCGTCCATCGCGAACCAACATCGTGACACGAGATTTATATATATATAGATATATATATATATATATATGTTGAAAATGTTTAAATTTGATGTTGAAATGTATGATAGATTTCTTGGAGGGCGTAACATCAAGTAAAAAAAGTAAAGTAAAGATTTTCTTCAAGACATCTTTATATTTCCATACGTTTCGACGTAAAATTCTACGTCATCTTACACAAAATTCCTATCCCCCACATCTTATAAAATCCGTCACAAACAATAGACTCACTTTTTTAAAAAACAAAATAACTAACCCCAACCTAAGTTTAATTTCCACAAAAGATAATAATTTTGAAGGTACCATTTAATATTGTTTTCAATCATTTTTAACTTCTCAATTCTTAACTTTGGCCTTTATATGTTTTATTTAGGTAGAATTAGAATGTTCTGAAAAATTTTTTTTTTTATCATGCTTACAATTGTAAGTATGATAAAAAAAAATTTTTCAGACATACTGTTGATGAACAAATATGATGTTGTATGCGAGTGGACTTACTTGACATATACAATTTATTTATATAATCAGTTAATATTGCCGTTGTTCCGAGACTATTTTCTTAAAGTAAAATAACAATATAAAGAAAATATTAGAAGTACCTTCCTCAGGACCTCGCTAGCATTACCTTCGTGCTGCGTATGGCCCCAGCCAGTTGCTATAGCTTTTTATTAGTAATTTCATTATTTTTTGGCAAACAGATTGGTATTACTTGCTTGTTTAAGTTCACTCTGAATATAAAAATAGAAAATAAAATAGTCATTTTTATTCAGGTTATGATGATAAAACTACCAAATTAATTCAAGGTTTTATTGATTGCTATGTGGTGCTAATTCAAAATGCATTTTAAACTTACATTCTATTCAATTTCAATAATCCTACATCATAATATTTAGAATTGGGCTTATATTCTGGATGCCTCAATCTTTCTGAAACGGTGAAGAGTTGAGAGTATTCGAAATTTTTGGGTGTGCCTGAATCAAAATCTGTAACACCCAACTGCACGAAATTCACAGAACCTCTGAAAAGTAGTTTTCGTTAAACGAGAACGAAAAAATAATATTATGCTCAACTTACAAATTTTTGTCATAAACACAATGAGCTGCCGTTAAGACAAAGTTATCACTGATCAAAGAACCTCCGCATGCCCAAATTATATTGTCTTCTTGGCCATAACCAAGACGCGCCTGTAATGAATCAGTACAACTTAATATTCTTACAAATTATTGATTGTACATATATTTAATATATTGTTCATGGATATAAATATACCATGTGCGGAAATTCGCGGTTCTGAGCTTTTTTCCGCCTACTATAAAAGGTACTACCGTGTGTCCACATCGGTTCACGAGGACCTTTTTTGCAGAATTTGTTAGAGTGGGTAGAGTGATTTTTTCGCAAACTAAATGCGAATATTCTATACATTCTGAAAAGTTAAAAATGTAATGTTCTTACGGTACCAAATAAATAGATTATATGACATTTATATTTTTAGAATTTATTTCTATTTTTGAAATTGTTTGTCTTAACTGTTTTCCGCTTTGTCTTCGCCACTACCAAGAGGTCTAAGATTTTTGCAAGGATTTTCTTTTTTCTCTGAATTTGGTTGTGTTTCTGGTGCATCTTCCGATGTTGGGCAATATACTAAATGGCTTAGTTCACCAGGGCAGAAAGTTGGACTCGAACCAGATACAATCAGACTTTGAATAGCGGGACAAGAAGACAAATTCGAACAATCACCATGTCGATTATCATTAGTTGTGCATGTTTTGCCTTAAGAAATCAGTCTATTTAGTTTTTTTCTATTGCAAGTTTAAATTAATTCGAGAAATAATATTGATTAAAGTCTTTATATATATATATATATAAACGAGAGAAAATAGTGGCCATTTCTTTATGATAAAGCCTCAAAGTTTAAAAAAAAAATAGTTGGAGGAAGCAAAGCTATACACCTAATAAAGAAATAATAATAATTCAAACCTAAGAATAGCTATAATAATAAGCATCTACACATTATTCTTTCAAACAAAGTTAACATTGAAACTGATGATATTTATTTAGGGTTCATATGAAATAAAATTATATGCAACTAGTAGAAAAAATATACAAATGTAATTTTATATTCTCTCGAATATAACAAATTCAAAACAAATTAAATGTAACCTTATTATTATAGATTTTTACATAATTTTTTTCTGTGTAATTTGAAATTTATTTTATTTTTTATTATACATTCTTGCACTTATGTGGAAGAATGTATAATTCTTTTGTGGAAATTAAACTTAGGTTGGGGTTAGTTATTTTGTTTTTTAAAAAAGTGAGTCTATTGTTTGTGACGGATTTTATAAGATGTGGGGGATAGGAATTTTGTGTAAGATGACGTAGAATTTTACGTCGAAACGTATGGAAATATAAAGATGTCTTGAAGAAAATCTTTACTTTACTTTTTTTACTTGATGTTACGCCCTCCAAGAAATCTATCATACATTTCAACATCAAATTTAAACATTTTCAACATATATATATATATATATATATCTATATATATATAAATCTCGTGTCACGATGTTGGTTCGCGATGGACGCCCAAACTACTGGACCGATTTTAAATTTTATTGGCTCATCGTGTGCATATATATCCAACTTAGGTTATAGGAAATTTTGAACAGTAAATTTGAAATATAAATATATAATTTCTATAAATTTCTAAAAATTTTGACAGAAAATGACCAAAAAAAAAACAAAACACTAAAATGACAAATGTCAAAATTTATGGAAAATTCGAGAACAAAAGATTAATGATTTTTGAAAAAAAAATTGACAGTTCAAAAACATATACATATATAGATATATCCAACATTTATATCCAAATTAGATGAAAAGCTACATTCAAAATCACTGTTTATAATTTTAAATCTAATTAAAAATCAATGTTCATAAATTTAAATAAAAGTTATTAAAAAAATGTGAAATGACATTTGTCAATATTTATAAAAATTATTAGATAAATAGATTTATAATTTATATTTATTTGATTTGCTTACGAAGTTAGTTCGGATACCAAAACTTCCTCAAAACCACTCAAAACATTATAGATCACAATAAAAAAACGACATATTAAATTAATCATTAATAATAAACAAAATTTTGACAGTTCAGAAAAATTGAATTTTTAACGACTTCAATAAAAAACAAATACATTAATTATTCCAAGTTTTGTTATAGGTAATATTGTAGATACAAAACATTATTGAAAAATATATTATATCATATTATATTAAATTTCGACCAAGAAGGAAATATTTATTTAGTTTTATATTATTTATAAATTTCCATAAATTTTGACAGAAATTCACTAAAAAAAAACAAAACACTAAAATGACAAATGTCAATATTTATGGAAACTTCGAGAAAAAACGATTTATGATTTTTGAAAAAAAAAATGACAATTCTAAAAATATATTATTTTTACTAATTGAAAAAGGGACAGATATAATATAATATATACAACAGTTATATCCAAATTAGGCAAAATGCTATATTCAAAATAATAGAAATATATAATGTTTATAGATTTAAATAAATTTTGATAGTTGTAAACTAAAAAAAGTGAAATGTCAATTATCCATATCTATGGAAAGTATTAGATGAATAAATTTATAATTTATATTTATTTGGTTTGCTCAACATATTAGTTCGGATACTAACACGTCCTCAAAACATAATAGATCAGAATGAAAAAGCGACATATTAAATTTAACTTTAATCATAAACAAAATTTTGACAGGTCAAAAGAATTAATATTTTTAACGAATTCCAATAGGCACAAATACATTAATTATTGCAACTTAGGCAATATCACAAATCACATTTAAGATACAGAATAATAAAATTTATCAAATTTAAATAAATTTGGGCGGTTACGAATTTTAAATAAATGCCGAAAATGACGTTTGTTAATATTCCGGGAAATTTATGAATAAATTGATTTATGATTAAGATTTAATTTGCTTAAGTTGTTCATTCAGATAAACATCACAAAATTAATAGAAATCATGATTGAAAACTGAATATTATATCATATCATATTAAATTTCGAAGTGCCAAAAATCAAACATTTAATAGATTTGGACTCGAATTCCTCAGAACTTTTTCCATGTTAGTTTCGGGGATAGTATGAATATGAATGTATAGTCGGAAATTTATATTATAAGTGTTTCGTAAGTAATAACAAATTTAAAAAAATGCATTGAAATCCGATGAGTGTCTAATCATAAATTTATGGAAAATTTTCAAAAAAAATATTAAAGGATTATAGCAAGTTCCCAATAGTATGTGACCAATAGTATGTGAAACCATTCCTAAATAAAGCATCGTAGAACATGTTAAAATGTTAGCTGAAGGTAAATAGAACGTAATACCAAATAAGATATAACAAATTTATAAAAATCACTTGGTTATTCATTATACATTTTGTAATGTACTCATTTATTCAAATGTTTAATAATCCGGATTTTATTTATTTTTGGATTGATATAAATTTTTTATAACAAAAGGTTTGAAATTTGGTTGTCAAACGGATTCAAATTTCAATCAGATGGATTTTAATAAGGGCCGTTGCAACGCAAGGCTGGGTATGCTAGTATATATATATATATGTATATATATATATATATATATATATATACATATGTTCATACATATATAGTGTTATTTTAAAATGTAATGCTTAAAACTCATGTTAAAAAAAATTAAAACAATTATTACCGTCTCATTTTTCATTGAGATATCATACATGGCTAATATTTGGACAATTTTTAATTGTGTGTCCTTCCTGTCGACATTGGCCACATTTTCTTTTTGAAGTGGGTTTTGTACCAGTTGCCTTAGAAGTTGTTTTTCTCTTTGAAACTGTAGTTGAAGTCTTTCTTGACTTTGAAGGTTTACTTGACCAGTTGTTAGCTATAATAACATTTACATAGCATATATGTTTGTATATCTCTATATCTTAAACTATATATACTTTTAATTATTTTAGTGCTTACTTGATTCATTGCTATCATGCTCAGGTTCATCTTCTGCCCACTCAAAGAACTTACACTGTTGTTCCATAGGTTTGGGACATACATAAAATTTTCTGCCTTTGTTTGGACCCTCTTTTTTTACAGTCTGTCTAAAAAATATCAAACAACAATCCTCAGTATAAAATATGCAGGAGTATATCATGATTGTAAAATTTTTTTTCTTACTTTCTAGCTGGTTCTTGGCAGCCACTGCATAAAACCTCTTTTTCATCATTTTGCTTTCTATTAGAATGTTTAGTTTGATGCCAGCCGGAACTGTTCCCTCCATATGTTTGTTTCTGATTAGTTGAAAAGTCTTTATTTTCCGTTTGTGCCCTTAGACTTTTATAATTACGAGTAAATTTGGTGCTGCTGTAATTTGAGTTGCTATTATCGTTCTGTTGTATGCTGCTGTCAACAATACCATTTTCATTAAAGTTATCGTCCCAATCCATATCTGAAAAAAAAATCTAGTAAATTTTAAATTTTAGAATTAAAAATTGAAAAAAAAAAAAACAGGAAAGTAATACACAGGAAAATAATATAAAAAATAGTATGATACTTGTAGAAGTTATTAATAATTTTTCAACAAAATTAACACACTATCGGCGGGCCCCGTAAAATTACGCTCTGCGAGGACTGTTGCTTATCGGCGGGCAAGGTATTATTACGCTTTGAATAGACTAACTTTAAAAGTGAGTCAAAATACTTTTATCTGATCGGTTTGCATATGATATTGAAAGAATAGCTGATACTTTTCTCTAGATTCAATTGATTTACGTATTGAAAGACTTTTAGAACAAGAATAAGGATAAGAAACAATATGTTTTATCTTCAAGTTTCTTTTCATTCAAGCTACTCGCAATTTGTTTTGTAGATAAATATGCAGAATTTACAACAATAAAAAGGTGTTCAATATATACTTTATCAAATATTTTAGTTATTTGTCAGATTTGTATAGTTCAAATCTTTTTTACATTGTTATTTGCAATAATGAAATAATGGCATCGGATAGCGATAGTAAAGTTTGCGTCAATAATTTATCACAAATTGGAAGTGATTTTTATATTACTGATTTTGGTAGTGTATGTGGATGAAGATTTTTCTCATCCTAGAAGACGTAGAGTTTTACCGATTATATCCAGAGATTCTGGAAATAATGACAATGAAGAAGTGGAGTGGTCAGAATTTGACAATCCTCCAATTATTGAATCATTTTTAGGTCAAAGTTGCGTTGTTTTGAAACCAAATAGTTTAATTGAAGTGGTTCAGCTATTTTTGCTATCCGGGTCCCAGCACCTCTTCATAAGGGGTGATTTTTTCCATAAATTTCACGTATGTAAAAATTGGTTTATATATCTACTGTACGGTAATTTTTTAACTTTCCGTAGGTTAGTTATAACTAACCTATATATAGTAATGGGCGGAAAATCAAGAATGAAAAATTTTCCATTTTTCTACGGTTTTTAGGTTTCTGAACATTTTGGCATACCTCATTAAAAATGGATGTGTCTGTGTGTGTGCGTGTGTTTTTGGTGGCCGCATTTTTTCGTTCACGTTTTCGGGCGCACGGACCAACCGATTTGAATGGTTCAAAAAACATTCGATTCCTATTGATAGGGAGATGTGCTCATTAGTTTTTGGCAATCGCAGGTCTAGCCGTTACGGAGATACAGAGCAAAAAGTGCAGAAAATAGAAATCGAGTTTTTGAGAGAACGGAGCATCCGATTTGAATGATCTAAAAAACATTAAATTAGTAATGATTGGGAGAAGTGGTGATTAGTTTTTGGCAAAGGCAGGTTCAGCCATTTCAAAGATACGGAGCTAAATGTACACAAAATGGCAGTTTTTGATAGAAATAAGCATCCGAATTGAATGATTCAAAAAACATTCTGATTGTGTTGACATAACATTTGCTTTAGAAAAAAAATATTTCATTCAATACTCAATATTCCTCGAACATTTCGTTATGGTACAGGAAGTTTCAGCAATTTGCCTGAAGGCACGATGCCATTCACTAGTTTTTGTTAGTTTTATGTTTAATTATGCATTAATTAAATAATTTTTTTATAGTTCAAAACAACCAGACGGTTTTTTTTTTTAAAAAAAAGAGTTATAAAAAAATATGTTCAATGTGACAGCCATTTGTGTTCATGCGAGGCGACGGAAAAAGCACTCGTGTCGAGCAAGCGATTTGCCCGCTACACATATCAGTTTGGTCTGACGAGTATTTTTACGGGGCCCGCCTATAGTGTGTTAATAATAATTTTACCTGTAATCATACAATCAAAATCATCATTTACATTAAAGTCAGTTTCACCACCATGTGATCTAGTTTTGTCATCTGATTTATTTGGGAAAAAGGAATTATCTGCAAATAATATAATTGAGAACAAACTATTATACTTCATATGCTCAAAAACTTAATTAACAAATTGTTACCTCTATTATCATTGGTAACTCGTGAAGATGAACCAGAGGAATATGCACCTGATGTAGATTGATAACTTGAATAAGTATTACTTTTTGTTGAATTTCTTGTTTCTGAATAATTAGAGAAGCCACCACTAAAAAGAAAATAAACAAAAGTATGTTAATTTCTGACTCTAATTGTGATAAATTATCACAACAAAATAATAAATTATACACACCCACCACCACGCCTGTTATCGCTACCGCCTCCGCCACCACCTCCATGTCCGCCAAATCCACTATCATCTAAACAAAAAAAAAAAAAAACAATGTACATCAAAAAACAAATAATACCATTGAAATATATTTTTGATATATTAGTTTAAAATTGAGATAAATAAAAAATTATGAATTTCTCGATATGTAATTGGTAAATTAAAACGCTGGATGGATTGTTAATATTATATATTTTAATAGATCTTTACTCTTCGGCGGTGTATCATATAAGACATATTATTATATTGTCTAGGATATAAGAGAGCGAATTTTTACGTAAAAGTTGCGACAGGTTATGTCAAACGCGAACATTGCGATTGACTTACATGTTACCAACATACAAGACGCTGACGCTTCGTGCTAACAGTACGCACGAAGCGCGCGGTTTTTTAAAGTTAAGAATGAACAATTTTGTCCAGTAATATATAATTTACGAAAATGTTTTACCGTCATCATCGTCCCTCCGAAAAGGTTTAAATTCTAATTTCGCCGGAGGGCCTGCTCCTTCAGGCCGATATGGAACTTTAGGTTCACGTCTAGTTAAACCGCGATCTTCAAATCGATCCACAACTGCTCTTTCTAAATCATTATAGTTTTGAACAATTTTAATGAAAGCTTCTTTGTAAATAGCAACCTGCATAAGAAAAATTCACATATAATTGAAAGAAAATAAGTAATAAATATATTCTATTTTGTAATCGTACTTGTTGTAAAATAACTTAACTACCTGTAGACGAAGCACTTCATTGGGATCTTTGCGACCTTCACATATCAATTTTAAATCTGCCTCCAAAGCAGCGCGGCGATCCGGTCTTGCCATTTCCAAACCTGCCTTTTGGTAACTAAAATATAAAGATACACAATACATAGCTATATATCTATATATATATATATATATATATATATATATATATATATCTAAATATATATCATGATAATAACAAAATTACCCTTCCACTAATCCCATGCCAAGAATACCGGGTACCAATCTCCTGTCCTCTCCTTCTCCAACATAAAGTCTGTCTTTCACAGTTGAAATATGTTCTGCATGAGTGGCATCAGTACCTATGCCATGCTTATCCATCAGTGCAATTAATTCGGCTTCTGTTAATAGTGGCGGAGGTGTAGTGACTCCAGGATCTAAATGAATACTCGTTGGTGTAAACTTTTGTCCTACCTTAAAATTCAAAATAATAAAGTTTCAAAGCATTGATTTATTGAATTTTTGTTGAATATCAATTCTCAAATAATTTCTCTCCAAACTCACCTCATAATTATGTATCTCTGTAGAATTCCACTTTTCATACACATAAACTTCTAAGTAATTTTTTTCTAATATACATAATCCAGTAGCTGAAAAAAACTCTCCACCTACTTGAATTTCACAACTGGTCTCAAAGCCAACAGCATCAGCAGAAACACAAGCCAAAAAATGACGAGCAATAAGTTCATACACACGACTTTCATTTCCTGTCAATCCTTAAAACGCAATTTTCAATTAAATAAAATTAAGTAAAGCAAATATGTAATAAATAAAACCTAAATAACTACAAAAAAAAAAAAAAATTACAAATTTGAAAATGATATATCTTCTAAAATTATAGACATAGTCTCATTATCAGTTGTAGAATAATCTAGAAGTGCTAATCTTTCAAGTTTGCAATTTATTGTGAAACAGATTATTAGCAGAAGATTACATTGATGATATTTTATTAACTTCATTTATAATGTTACCTGATGCAGCTTTAACTGGATGAATAGGAGGATGGGCTTGGTCAGACTTATTTCCCTGTCTTGGATTAGGCCCACCATTATTCAAAATTTTCCTTGCAAATTCACCCCAACGGGAATCATCACACTGATTTTCTACATATTGACTAAAATTAATAAAAAATGCCATTTATTCAGCATATCGAGAATAATGCATAAATAAATTTCAGTACACTCTTTATTATACTAGTCTATTCAAAACAGATTCAACAAGTATAAATGTCTTTAAATAAAATTAAATAAAAAGTAATGTTATTTAAAATTGTATAACTAATAACAAATACCTTAAATTGAAGTCTCTGGGAAAAATATTTGTCTCAGTTCTAGGATATGAAATAAAACCTCTGGTATATAGTTTCTCAGCTATTTTCATTGCTTCTTTTGCGTTTATCTTCAATTTTTTGGAAGATAATTTTTCAAATTCCTTAAATATAATAATATACATTTTTATAAAAATATAAAAAATATTATCAAGTCAAAGAAATTTGATGAAATAAAAACATTCTAAACAACAGAAATACTATGATTTTTAGTATTAACTTACTACAGTATCCATTGGTAAAGGCCTCCATTTGGTTTTTCTCTTCCCATCAGTTTTAAGTACTTCTGCTTCAGGATTTGATGTGCAATTGTTATATAAATCAATGCAAGTAGCTTCATCGAATAAGCGATTTCTTTTCCATTTAAATTCCACAGACAAATCTTTAATGGTGTGAATCACTGAAAGTAATCATTTTGACTATGAAATATATATATATATATATATATATATATATATATATATATATATATATATATATATATTTTCAGACACTCGTAATACAACTTCCAAACTAACAACATGTTCGTTTGGAATAAGCTTTTTTACAATAAAATATATCATTCATTTTAATTTTACAATTTTTTTTAAAATTTTTCATAACTCGACGTTTCATCAATTTTTTTCACTTTTGAACGCCAATTGATGACAAAACTAAATTATATTGGGCTAGTTGATACGGATCTGGCATCAAGCAAGCTATAACGATCTGATTGTTTTTATACGATCGAATATTATTGTCGCGCTTTTCAAAACGATGTAAAAATATTGTATCGAGTTTTTCAACTAGCGTTTTCTCGTGATCGAAATTTAGATTTGATTTAATGTCATATCAACATCTTTACCAATTACATTAATAAACACTCATTATCGAGTTGAAAATAAAATTATTGCGATTTCATTCAAGAATTAATTAATAAATAATATATGGCCCACTAGCGCCATATATATATAAACACTTGCAAAAATAGTTTTGCACGAATAATTTCAATTCATTCAGCAATGATCAATATTGATAAATCTTATTTAAGGCTCTTGCGTCTATAATAATAATAAATGCAAGTAATTACCTTTTAATTTCCAGAAAAATTCTTGAATAAAATCCTCATTTTTCTTGAACCTTTTAACTACAAAACCTAATGTCGAAAACTGACAAGAACCATAACTGATTAACTGATTTGATACATGTCTTGAAACATTTCTTTGTAATTGCATAGTCTGAAATCTTGTAAAAGCAGCTCCTGCAATAATTTTCTACTATTATATTCATCATTCTTGAAGATCAATCAGTATATTGCATTATTACTACCTATTCGAAGATCTAATTCTTGACGAACATCTACTGCATTTGAAGCATTCTGATCAATATCTGTTAAATTCTGAAGAGCTCTATTTATGGACGTACTAGTTATTTCAGAAAATTTTGCTCTATATATCTTAATATTATTTTTAACAGCCTTACATACCGAAAATTTAAATATAATTGATAATGCATTATAACAAACAATATAAAATTAAAACTGAAAAATAATTTTATTAGTTTTGCATTAGCAATTTGAAATAATTAAGCAAAAACTAAAATTATATATAAATGTATGTTAATTGTTATCTACTCTTTTACTCAAATATTTTACTTGAACTATTTCTGATCCAATATTTTCTCCTTCTCGATCACGTTTATAGGAGCCTGCATTAATTCCTGTTTGATTTCTTCCTCTACAGTTATTTTAGAATTCATAAATCTTTCCAGACATGTTTCTCCATTCTCTGAACAAGATTCAGACTTAATATCCTCTTCATTTTGAGGATCTTCTGCTGAATATTCTAGTGGTTCAATTTTAATCGAGGTAGTTTTTTCTTCTGACATTATTAGATATTTTACCTGATTATAACAGAGAAAACAGTTGTGTACTAATTAATCATGTATTTTAATCAATGATATTAAATTTAACTAATTTAAGGTGATACTTGCAGCATAAGGTTAGGAATTTTTCCCGTCGTAACATTTTAGAAAGAAATGTTTTGATATGGTTTTGATAATCATCTTCAATCTTATCATCTCAACAGGAATATTTTTATAAATTACTTTTATTTTTATAAATTACTCCATTTATGTATAATGTCTATTTTAATGTAATGTAAATAATAGAAAGTTTATTTTGTACGTCAAAATAATCGTCATGTCAATGTTGGCCACATTGCCGCCATGTTAGAATTGTTCACACGCAAAGAATCCTCAAACTGTGATGGCCAAATTGGTATCTTTAAACAAACTTATACCTGCAATTATTTAAATTATTACATATTGTGTACGTCTCAAGAACGCCTAATACTTTATTCCAACCTTTAGTGAATTTGTAAAAATCATAGAACTTCTTGTCCTTTTCAGGAACGCCCTTTTTGTAAGACTTTTTGTCTTGTTCTAGTTTGCTCGTCAGTACAGTCCTTTTCTTTTTTTATCTTGTTATTAATTGTTATCGATTGTATTAATAATTCTATTATTTATACATATGAAATTAACAATAAAACGTTTATAACAATAAAACTAATGGAATACACGTGTAATGGAAATAATGCATTAGGTTTGGGCAACATGGCAAGCGAATTTAAATTAATTGTTCAACACAACTGATATATGTTCATCGGAAAAAAATTCGATATATTATTAATTATTTTATGACTATTGATTGTACTTCAAAGTTCAAAACTCAAACACAACAAATATTTAATAAAACAGTACAAACATATATATGCAAACCAGTATGTAAACATTTTTTTATCCAAAACAATCATTTTCTACTATTTTGCCCATTTTATTTTCTGCACCTGCTATGGGACCTGCTTCGCCTACTTCTGGAGCCTGATCTACGACGATGCCTTCCCCGTGATAGTCTTTTGCGCGCAAAACGGACGTTTTAGATTTTGCTTTGCATTTACGTTTTCGATGATTTGTGAATAAAGTCATTTTTAATTTTTTTTTGCAAAATTTGAGTTTGCTCATCAGTTCTTCTTTATTTTATACCCAAGCTTGCAGTTTTGTTTACTCGTCAGTAGAGTCCTATTTATTACTTTAGGTCAATTTTCAGTTTGCTCATCGAATCCTCTTTTGGTCTATTGTGTTTATATTTAATTTGCTCGATAGTAAAATCATCTATTTGTCTTTCAGGTCTATATTTAATTTGGTTGTTAGTAGAGTTCTTTTTTTAAAGTTAATTTTGTTCATCGGTAGAGTTTTCTTTTTCATATAGGTAGAAAATTTCTACCTAGAAATCTACTCTACCTAGAATTCTACCTCTACTAGAAATCTACTTTGCTCTATATAAATAAAGTCTCATTTGCATTTCCTATGCTACTATTTTGTTTGTCAGTAGAGCCATTTCTTTATCGTCTAATCTGATATTTAATTTGCTCGTCAGTAGAGTCCTTTATTTATTTTCTAGTCTGGTAATCAATTTACTCGTCAGTAGAGTCCTTTTTTGATACTTTAGTCTGATATTTAATTTGCTTGTCAGTAGAGTCCTTTTTTATATTTCAGGTCACTACTAAAGGTCTTTAGTAAATTTTTTTCATGTTCTCAGCTGCTAATTCGTGTGCTCGTCAGTACAGTCCTTTTTCATATCTTGGGTCAATAATAAATTTGCTCGTCAGTAGAGTCGTATTTCACATTTCAAGATGAATTTCTGTTGGTTTCATTACAAGTTTCATCTTTTTTAAATTAATGAGATATTTAATTTGCTCTTCAGTATAGTTCTTTTTAATTTAAGTTATTGTAATGGGCCGAAAATTAAGAATATTTTTTTTTTGCATTTCTTCACGTTTCAGACGTTTCTGAACATTTTGACATACCTCAGAAAAAATGGATGTGTGAGTTTATGTGGATACAATTTTTTCTGTCGACGTTTTCGGGCGCACCGATCAACCGATTCGAATGATTCATTTACCTTTCGATTCCTATTGATAGGGAGATGTATTGATTAGTTTTTGGCAAAAGCAAGTCCAGCCGTTACAGAGATACGGAGCAAAGAGTGCAGAAGATCCAAATCGAGTTTTTGAGAGAACGGAGTATCGGATTTGAATGATCTAAAAAACATTCAATTTGTAATGATTGGGAGAAGTGGTTATTAGTTTTTGGTAAAGCCAGGTCTAGTTGTTTTGGAGATATTGTGCAAAAATGTGTAAAAAATTGCAGTTTTTGAGAGAACTAAGCGTCCGATTGGAATGATTCAAAAAACTTTCTGCTTGTTTTGACGAAACAATTTTGAGAAAAAAACATTTTTTTAATTTATTTTTGTAATTTTCAAGAAATATTTTTAACTAAATTTTATTTTCGAATATTTCATTATGGTACGGAGTATATTTATATTTATATTTTTATTTATATTTTAACTTATATTTATAATTTATATTTATATTTATATTTACATTTATATTTACATTTACATTTAACTTTGCCTTAAGGAACAATGCGATACACCACTAGTTCTGTTTTGTTTGATCGTTAGTAGAGTCCTTTTCTATTATCGGAGTATTTTTAATCCGGTTTCCCCTACAAAATATTGTTTTTATGAAAAGGGATTTTGTGAAATGGATTATAAAATGAAATTGCGGACAATTTTCTATAAAAATGGGTTCAGTTTAGTTTTTAGTAGTTGACTCTGGTTTTGTCCTCGCGTGTTTTGGGCCTGATAAGATTTTATAGGGCACGAATAGTAATATATATATATATATATATATATATATATATATATATATATACTAGCAAACCCGACGAACTCCGTTTCGCCACCAGATGGTTTCGTGAGAAAGATGAAGAAATTTTTTGTTTGTTTTATATTAAGGAAAAATTTGATCATTAAGGAAAACCGATAAAAGAAGAAGATAATCTATTTGAAATTATTTAAAACAATAATATATAATAATAAATAATGGTAAATTATAATTTATATATTTATAATAGCATTAAAAATATGTATAATATTTGAAAACAATAATGTAATTAAAGTCATACTTCAAATACGATATAATCGGTTTGTCATTGTAATTAGCATTTAGGACTTGAACCTTCATTAGAGAAATGAAGTAATTGCTGATTAATAAATTCCATAATATTTGTTCACACAGGGGATTATGTTAAACGACGCCTAAACAAATATTGCTTTCACAATATCACTCATCATCATATAATATTTGTGTTTCAAGAACTTCATGTTATTGAAATTAACATACATTCAGTGACTGATTGTATTTTTTTACTTTTTCGCTGGCGATACAGTTTCATTCTTTGAACAGCTGTAATATCTGTCTTGTCTAAAAAATATTTTCCAATTCAATAACTCTAAAGATTTATAAAAACTACGAATAATATAAAAATAATTTCAAATGAATAAACTTACGTTTAGTACACGGCCCAAATTGTTTAATTTGTTTTATTATTTTCAAGGAACAGGGTAAAGTATTCTTCTGATTCAGGCATTTTTCATTAAATCAAGATTTGTACTACGATGTAACTATGAAATGTTTATTTATCTATGCCGATTTCGTTGTTGATATCGGTACGCATACAACGTTGATGTCGTTACGCATGCAACGACAGATCTCTATTCACATACACGACGACTAATCACAATCGACCCGTATAAAAGTGATATCATCGAGAGCGAATGACGAATCACTGGCACTCGACTCTTACCTTAACGACTCTTATCAGCCGTAACGCACTTCCGTTGCATTTGTACGGATTTACATCCTAGTCGCGCCTAATAAAGTTTTACTTCAAAAATATGTATCGATGACAAAATTTGAGTTTTCGCCGACGTTTTTGCAAAAACAGTGACGCTTATTTCAAAAATTTAAATCATTCGATGCAATTTCGATGAGGACTTGAGTTGAAAAGTTTTGAGCAACGATCGGCAAAGACGTTTTTTTTTTTATAATTAGCAGAAAACTGCAAAATATACGACAATAGATTTCATAGTTCAAGCTAGCTTATTAAAATATTATAGGCCTATAATAAGCATTAAAATTGTAAAAATTCACTAAAGTTTGCTTGGGCTAATAATAAGTTCTAATTGTCTAATTTTAGTTATTTATACCTTAAGGAAACATTTTCAATTAGAATAGCTAATTCTCTTTTTTTTTATTAAGTCGATTATTTGCTATTATTGCAACATTCAAGCAACTTGCCTTAAGGCCTCCCTATCAATTCTAAACCAAGTTCTAAAGCTATTGATAAGGAGATGTGCTGATTAGTTTTTGGCAAAGGCAGGTCTGGCTGTTACGGAGATACGGAGCAAAGAGTGCAGAAAATAGAAATCGAGGTTTTGAGAAAACGGAGCATCCGATTTGAATGATCCAAAAAACAATTGCTTTTGAGGAGAAAAAAATATTTTTTTAATTTTTTTGTATATCGAAAATAATTCAGTTTTATTTTTAATTATTGCTAAAATACTAAAGCTCATTTATATACTTTAAATAAATAATTTTAACTCTGCAATTCAGTTTATATAGTTCTTAGAAATATTAAAAAATGTTACAGTATTTATATTAATCTATTTGAAAAGATTTAATATTCCTCGAACATTTCGTTACGGTAAGGGAAGTTCCAGCAATTTGCCTTAAGGCACGATGCCATACACCACTAGTTACTATTTAAAAAATCGACTTCTAACAGTAGAGTCCCTTTTCAATCAATTGAAATGATTTACTTCCAGGTTGTTCATCAGTAATGTCACTTTTAGTTGCAAAATGTTGATTTGAATGTAAGTTTATATTAATTAAATAAATCTTTTTTCGCCATATTTAGTGTTAGCTAAATTTATTATGGTGATATATATTTTATAATGCTTATTCTCCAACGTGTTTTATGTT